AACCTGATAAGCAATGATAACGCTTTTTGGGAGATTAAACGCAAAAACTAATTACAATGTAGATAGCGGATCTTTAGGAGCATTAATGTACAGAGGATCCATGTTCATAAGTCCCTGAAATTAGCAAGATCAGTCGGGACATTGAGTATTAAATTTGGCAAGTCATGTTCCAAATATAGAAAACGTTAATCAGATCATATTTGTAGTACTGTGCACTGTTCTGGTCGCTGCACGGTAGGAAGGATGTAATGGCGTTGGAGAGGGTGAGTAGTGCAGAATGTTGCCTGGATTTGAATCTATCAGCGTAAGGACACGTTGGACAAACGTTGATTGTTTCATTAATGTGTCAGAAGCTGAGGGTAGACCTGATAAAAGCTTTAAAAATTATGCGAGGCATGGATAAAGAGGATGGTCGGCACCTTCACAGGGTGGATTTGTCAAATACTAAGGGTCATAGGTTTAAGGTGAGAGGAGGAAAGTTTAAACATCATGGACGAGGAACTTTTTTTTGTTAAAACAGAAAGTAGTAGCTACCTGCAATAGGCTATCACAGGAGGTGGGATGAGCTGATATGACAACAAAGTTGTAAAGGCATCTAGACTGATGCGTGAACAGGCAGAGAATAGAGTGATGTGGAACATATGAAGGTAAAAGGGATTAGTTTAAATAGAATCATGGTCGGTACAGACATGTTGGACTGAAAAGCCAATTCTGTGCTGTACTCTTCAATGCTCTATGTTGTTGTTATATCGTTCCGTGACATTGGCCCTCAAAGTCATTCTTTGTCTACTCCCAAACTTCTGCTCCCTTCTCATACTTAATGTGGTTTTCCCTGTTTTGCATCATTGTCACTGTGACAGTGACTCATGCTTGCAAATGCTCCATATTCCGTTTTGCATGCCTGTTCATGTGTTTGTCGAAATGCCTCGAAACCGTTGATATCATATCTGCTCCTATGTTGTGAACAGTTCTGGTCAACCTTTTATTGGAAGGGTAGTATTAAATTGGAGATGGCTCAGAAAAGATTTATCAGGATGTACTGAGACGGGAGAATTTCAGCTATAAGGACAGGCTGGATAGGCTGGATCCTTTTTCACGAGAACGTAGGAGATTGAGAGGTAACCTTGTCGAAGTCTATCAAGTAATGAACAGCATCCATAGGGTGAATAGCAAAGGTCTTTTCCCTCGGGAGCTCAAAACTAGTGGGCACGTTTTTAAGTTGAGAGGCGAAAGATTTAACTGGGGTGTGGCAGATGCAGGTCGAGTTGCACCATCTAAAAGACATTTGGGCAAGATACGTTTACAGGGATATCGGCCAAACACAGAGAAGTGGGACCAGTTTAGCTTGGGAAACAGTCGGCATGGCCGAGTTCAAAGGAAGGGTCTGTTTCAATGTGGTGTGCCTCTCTCATCTTCAAATATTCACTTTTCATATTATACTTATGTCCCCTAATATTTAACATTCACACCTTGCGGGCAGAAAAGGGTATCCAACTATTCACCTTATCCATGTTTCTCCTAATATGATACTCTTCTATCAGACTGCCCATCAGCTTCTGGCACTCCTGTGAAAACAATCCAAGTTTGTCCAATGTTTACTTCTGGAAAATGAATTCCAATCCAGTCAACATCCTGGTAAAACTCTATTGCGACCTTTCCAAAGCCATCACATCCTTCCTATCAGGTGGTGACCAGAACTGAAGACAATACTCCATGCGTCAACTATGTCAATCTTTAGATACTTTACTGTGACTTGCCTACTTTTATAGTCGGTACTTCGACTGATGAAGTCTCATCCTATCGCTTTACCACTGTATCCACTTGTGTTGCCACTGACAGCAATTTATGACGTTGCCCCAATATCGCTTGCATATCAGTGCTCCGACGGGTCCTGCCAATTGCTGCATACTTTCCTCTTGCATTTGACCCCCAAAAATCTATGATTCTCTGTGTACCTTTATCTCTCCCTCTCTCCCCCACCTCTCTCCCAGTCTCTTCTTCTCTCTCTCTGTCACTATCTTTCCATCTCTGCAACCCCTCTCTTCCCTTCTCCCTCTCTCTATCCCTCCCTCTCCTCCCCCGCCACCCCGCCCGCTGTCTGCCCCCGTCCCTGTCTCTCACTCTCTCCCTCCCTCTCCCAAACTGGAAGCACCAGATGTCACAAGGGGCGCAACAAAGCCTGCACCTGTTGGGAACCACAGGGTACCCACCGCACTGCAGATCCGGGCACCCGACAACAGCATGCTCCGAATCAGGAGTTGAGCACGACAGTCCCTCTGTGGAATTCGAACTGGCCCTTTCTGACATTGTATTCGCCCTGACGACACCGTATCGGGGAAATTACCCTGGGCAGGAATAGAATGACTTCCTGAATGTGGAGAGTATCTAATGGTTCGCCCACACCACGGGGATGCAGGGAGCCCCTTGTGACAGGACAACGAGTGAAACGGCAAATATTCTGGAATTTCCAAACTAAGTGCATTGCAGATGACCCCATAGCATATGCAGCGGTTCAAGAAAGTTGTCAAAGGATACAGCGGGATATAGATCAATTGCCTAAAAACAGCAGATGGAGTTTCATCCGGGCAAGTGTGAGGTGTTGTGCTTGGGAGATTAAATGTTAACAGAAATTATACAGTTAATAGCGGAACTCCAAATAGCATTGACTTACAGAGAGACACCAGTGGCCTGAAAGTGGCTACACAAGTGAATATGGCGATAAAGAAGGCGTATGGCATGCTTGACGTTATTTGTTAGGGTATTGAGCGCAAAAGTCCAGAAATGACGTAGCAGCTTAATAAAATTTTGGCTGGCCGCATATATTGGGTTAAATTGTCGTCTCCACATTACAGGAAGAATGTAAATGCTTTGGAGAGGACGCAGAAGGTGTTTACCAGAATAGTGCGTGACGTAGAGGGTAAATGTAACAAGGAAAGTGAGGACAAATTAGTGTTGTTTTCTCTGGATGTCCGGAGGCTGAGGGAAGATCTGACAGAAGTGTAAAAGAACGTTATGAAAGTAATGGACAGTATTGACAGTCAGAATCTTTTCCCCCCTCAGGCAGCTCCCCTTCTGTCATATCTTAGCAAGGGGCCCAGCAAACACTTCAGCAGCTTCCCAAAACATTCTGGGGTACACGTATTCATGTTCCGGGAATTTGTTCATCAATTGCGTTTTAAGAAGTCCAACACCTCCTCTTCTGTAATATGGACAATTTTCAAGATACTTCTATGCATTACCCCACAATTTCTGGCTTATATATCCTTCTCCATAGTAAACACTGATGCAAAATACTCGTTTAGTACCTGAAAGATCTCCTGCAGTTCCAAGCTTAGGCGGCCTTGCCAAATGTTAAGGGGCCCTATTATCTCCCTAGTTACACTTTTGTCCTAACGTATTTGTAGAAACCCCTTGGATTCTCCTTACTGCTATTTGCTAAAGTTATCTCGTGTCCCCTTTTTTCATAACCCTGCTGCACATTGCATCTTTACTGTCTAACTTCCTAAACAGCTCTCTGAGGAGCCAGGGCATAACATACAATGGCTAGCCTTGCAGAGTTATTTCTGATGCCCTCTCAGAAAAACGATCCTTTTCCTCTTGATATCTCTAATATCCAAGGTGCCTTCAGTATTGACAAGAACTCAAATTGTGATAAAATCTTTTGGAGCAAAATCATCATAACCGATGACAACGAACCTTCCTTGTTAACTCCAATGTTTTGTTGCAAAGGATAAAATAGGATCTTTTGGCAGTCTGTAGAATTGCGATACACATTGAGCGTTATGCAATGTAGAAAATCATCACACGAAGAGAGGCATTTATCATTTAAATTAAAGTTTACTTGTGATGGGAACTTTCTAATTGAAAAAAAAAGTTATCCTGTCACAGAGACCATTGAAATTGGTTGAAGAAAGAAACAAGAGACTTTTCTTTATGTTGCAATTTCTACCACAACCCGCATGTATGACTATATAATACGTTTAGTGAGACTGCTAATTGTAGAATAAACATTGACCGAAGGATCAATTGCTGTTCACCTCTGTTCTCTTCGTGATCGATTCCAGCCTGTCGTTTATTCTCAGCTGAGCACGTAGATAAAGGCACATTACAATGAACCCTTTGAAATACAGTCCTTCATTAGTCCAACATTGCAGACATAGACTTCGTATTTCTTTCCAATCCCAAGATTAAAAGCATGATATGGGAATCGACAGGTTCATGTGCTGGAAGTAGGGCCAAACATAACGTCATCTCAAGTGGACTCAAACTGCTTTCTTTATCATTTCAGGTAAATGTTCGAGTCTGTATCAACATGGAATGTCCTGACGCAGATAACATTGCGAGAAGTCATCCACTGTCATTTCCAAAATGCTGAATATATTTTTCACGATATAGGCAGTACCTCACTGTAATTGATCAACGTATACTTTTTTATTGAACTGACTATATTCGTATTTCCTCTTTCTTTTTATTTGATCGTGTGTTGTATTGAGCGAAAGGGGAAATAAAGAGAGTTTATCGGGATCACTTCTGTTTTTGGGTTAATCATGTAATTCATTTCCTGGTATGAACTACTTGACTCTGTTTTGGGAGCGATGGCCCTATCGTTGATCATTGAAGAATTTTAAGAAATTCGGTGTGTGATTGCTTCGTATTTTCATATCCCATGAAGGAGGATTTATAACTTTTCGAGTCAAACAATTGCCCTAGTGGCTCTGTCGCTATTTATAAAATGAAAATGTTTCCTTCATCAGCATATTCTCGAGGAACTGGGAATCTTTCTGAGAGTGATGATGTACAATGTAAATTAAATTTCATGAATAAAAATGCAGTGGTTTCATTCTTTTTTGGGATTATGTGTCTCTTTGTTGACGTCAGTGCCACTGCGTATGTGTGTGAATGTCTAGAGACTAAGAGTATTTGTGTGTATTTGTGCCAATATGTGCGAGTGTCAGTGAGTAAGAGTGGCTGTAAAGGGAAGAATCCTTACCAGCAATAACATGCAGAGGGATCTCGGTTTACAGCTCCCTAAAATAGATACCGTCGTCAAGAAGTCGTACGGCATACTTACCTTCCTCAGTCGGGGCATAGAGTACCTAATTTTTAAAGTCAGGTTGGTTGCTCGGCCAACATTTGGAATGTTTCATACAGTTCTGGTCGTCACATTACCGGAGGGATATGGAGGCTTTGTCGAGTGTACAGAAACGGTGTACCAGGATGTTGCCTGGTTTGGAGGGCATTGGCTACAAGAAGAGATCGGACAAAGTAAGGTTATTGTCACTCGAACGTCGGATGCTGAGGGGCAACCTGATCGAATTTCATAAAATTGTCACATGCACGGATTGATCAGAAAGTCGAAATCTTTTTTTTTCCCAGTGTTGAAATGTCAGTTGCTCGGTTTCACAAAGATGTGAGAGGCAGAAATTCTACCCCGAGGGTGGTGAATGCGTGGAAAATGCTGTGACAGCGGATGGTGGAGAAAGATACAACGACAAAATTTAAGAGGCATCTTAAATATATCTACGGACAGGGAATAGAGGGTTAAGGACCACGAAGAGGCAAAAGCATTTTTGTTTAGAAATTTGTGATGTGTCAGCAGAGGCTTGGTAGGCCGAAGACCTGTTGCTGTGCTGAACTGTACTTTACTATTTGATACATTGCTTGTGGGATCGCTTAACTCTCTCCATCACGTGTTGCTTACAATGGTTATTATGAAGTAGCCCTGTTTGATACCTTCACCAGGTTGATCCCTCGTTGCTCGGTGTGCCGTCCTGAGCTCTCAATATGCAAAGCCAAACGAGAATTGGCGGTCCATAAAATTCATCGTGGCCGACAACAGGGTGTAGCTGTGGGATCCTGGGCAGGGCTGCGGCGCAAAAGCGGTAGGGTCTTGTTAACTTGTGGGTAGGGTCCTAAGTATTTGGAGGGGCACAAATTTTGTGGTGGATGTTAATGTTAGGAAGGTGCAAAATTTTGGAGGCTCAAATTAGGGAGAGTAGGAAATTTTGGAATTGGGGACAATATTTGACGGGCAAATATTTGTGGGGCAGGAATATGGGCGGATATTTTGAAGGGTAAACATTGGGGCGGGGGCAAAGAGACTTAGATATAAAAATAAGAGACAGAGATAAAATCACGAAAAGATATACATAAAGAATGTTTGTGCCTGTGTCTCTGTGCAATGGCGTCTCTTGTTTGGGGTGAATTTTGGGAAATGCCGTTAACTCCCTTCGTCCTTACTCACTGTCTGACTCTTTTGTTTTTAAAGTGATGTGATGATGATGGTCATGTTGATGTGTGTATCCACATGTGTGTCTCCGTGTTTTGGTATGTTTGTGTCTGTGTGTCTACCTTTGGCTGCAATGAGGCACACTTTGTCCTGAACCGAGGTTTGAATGAATGAATGAATTATAATGTGATGAATCAAAGGCTCAAAGTATCTCTCTCTCTTTCTTTCTCTCCCTTTTGATTTTATTGTGATACAATGCCACCCTCTGGTGGCCTTCATTTGCCACTACACTAACAGCAGATATCTTTTGGCGAAAGTGTCAAAGCCTGGAAATCTCTTCGGTTGCACATTTGCTTTGTTCTTCCAACAATATCTTTGTCGTCAGATAGCAGTTTTGTCGGAATGATGTTGCCCTGAGAAATTAGCAGCAGCAGCTGAACAAACCTAATTTTGAACTCACCCCCTCCAATTTTGAATTCTTTTAACATTTAGAATCAGAGGGATGAGAAAACAAACAATTGAAATTGCAGAAAGTGCAACGAAATTTGCCATTTCCCTTTCCAAAACGTTTCAGCCGGAGGTGCCAGGTCAGAGCTGCAGTTAAAATATTCTATTTAATGCGTATGATGTCAGGAATACTGACAAGAACAAACCATTTTCATTCTGCAGGCATACATTTCTGAACATGAGTATGTTTCACTCATGCAACACACTCACAATCATCTCCACGCCAGCCTGATGTGTGAGTGCCTGTGTCAGTGGTGTGTGTTTGTGTGTGTGTGTGTGTGTGTGTGTGTGTGTGTGTGTGTGTGTGTTGGTGTTGCTGTGAGCTACTCTTTCTCTCTCTGACTGAACCCTGAGAGTTTTCACTCCATACCATTCCCTGTGCAGGGACATGGGGTGGCATTGCATCACTTTAAACACAAGAGGGACAGAGAGAGGGGGACAGAGTGACAGAGAGAGAGAGAGAGAGAGAGAGAGAGAGAAATAATGAAAGGAAGAGAATAATCTAGAGCCTATCTTTCTGTCTCTCTATATTTCTATGTCCCTCTCTCTCCCTTTCTCTCTGTTCTCTGTCTCTCTCTTCTTTGGTTTGAAACTTTGGTCTTTTTGATCATTGTTCAAAGTACATTGACAGTCTCTGGCGCTATTTTAACCTAGCGTTGTGTCAAGCCAGTGCTCGCTATGTGATCTGAATTGCCCAGTTTTCTCCCATCTATGTCACTCGCTGATTCCTTCCACTCTCTGGCCTCCCTCATCTCTCTGTCAATTCCTCTTTTGATCCTCCTCTTCTTTACATTTACTCTACCCCTAACTTTTTCTTATGTCTCTTTGCCTTAGTTTTCCAATAATCACCTCTCCCTCTGTCTCACTCTCCATCCTGATCCTCAATCTCTACCTGTTAAATCCTCCTTCAGTCTCACTGTTTTCCTCTCCCTCTCTCCTTCCTCCTCTCCTTGTTCTGTCTTGGTTTATCACTCTCAAGCTATTTCAGCCTCATTTTCTCCCTGTATGCTCTCTCTTTTTGTTTTTCTTTCCCACTGTATTTTTCTGACACATTCAATTTATCCCATATGCACTGCCAACTTCATATTTTCTTCCCCACTCTGATCTTTGCATGTTTCTCTCACAGAATGCTTGTTTCTCCGACTATCTCGTTTTAAATTAAAAAAAAAACTGAATCGTTCCAAGAAAAAGGGCCTCATTTGCTGGGCCAGCAATTGCCCGTCCCTAACTGGCCAGAGGACAGGTAAGAGTATTGCTGCATACCTGGAGTCATACTGAGGCCAGAATAGGTAAGGTTGGCAGATTTCCTTCCCGAAACGGCAGTAACGAACCAAGATATGGACAATGGTTTCATAGTCATGACTAGACTCTTAATTCCAGCTTCCGTTTGGAATTCCATCACCTCCATCGGGCATGGCGGGATTAGAAACCTATCCATAGAACTTCAGCTGAGTTTATGGATTAATAGTCTCGCAATTAGCCATCGTCTCCTCTCATTCTCTCTCTCCGACTGTCATGTTTTACAAACTTGCTTGGTATCTCGATTTCTGTCTCTCAAATACTGCGTAGATCCCTAATTTTTTTCGCTGTATTTTTCACTCTCCCTCTCAGTCTCTCTCTCTCTCTCAGTCGCTCTCTCTCTCCCTTTTTGCCTCCCTTCTTTTCTCTGTCTCAATCTATCTCTCTGTCTGTCAATCTGTCTCTGACTCTCATTCTCTCTCTCCTTGTCTCTCTCTCTCTCTCTCCATTTCTCTGTCCCTCTTTGTCCACCTCTCTGTCGCACTCAGTCTATCTCTCTGTCGCATGCTTTGTCTCTGACTTTCTCTCTTTGTCTTTCCGCCTCTTTCTCTCATTCTGTCTCTATCTATGTCTGCCTTCCTGTCGCTCTGTGTCTGTGTATCACTGCAGCTCTTTCTGAGTCTCTCTCTGTCTCTCTGCCTGTCTATCTATATATCTGTCTGTTTGTCTTTCTCTCTTCCCCTCCACCCTACTTCTCTCTCTCTCTGTGAGTTGGCTTTTAGGATTTTGAAGCTGACCTCGGCTATGATCTCCACTCCTCTCTGCATTTGCATTTAATCACTCTGGCGAGACTTCTTGTCTGCTCTCCCCCCACTACCCTCCCCCCCAACCCTCCACACCCCCACAATGAGTTGCTGTTTGAATTGACTGATTAATGAATGATTTGAAGAATTGTCTTGAAAGGACGTTTTAGCACAATTTTGAACTGCTCTCTGAACTTTGTCTGGATCACAGCATATTTCCCAGTGTTTGTGCATCAACTCCAGAGCTGCAGCATAAAGACTAACTGAAGCACATATCATTCTATTCGGACAGACTGCTATCCCAGGAGCTACATCCGTCTCCATATGGAATAAACCATTAACATTGACCGTAACAGGATGAAATTGCTCGACATAGCAAACAATAAAATTATCGATTTTCTTCGACTCTCCATCTCTGCATCTCTGGAGCTCTTCCCACTGCTTCGAGTACAGAGTTTCCTGCTCTGCTCCTGGCTCTGCTGGCCACTGCAATGTGCCTTACAATGAAAACATTGAGCAGCAGGATTAGTACAAACGGGACACTGAGGTTGAGAATGTTGTGAGCAAACTCGAATGCTGCCCAAACTGTAGATTGAGTAACATTCAATCTTATGAAACAAAACCAGGGGTAGTTCTCCATCCAATACGCCCCACTTAACATAAAGTACCAGAAAATATTCTTTGAAGAACGCAGCACAGACACTGTCCCCAGAACCACAGCCGCGGTTTTCTCACTGCAATATTTATTTTTCAGCTTCTGGCAACAAATGGCTACGAATCGATCAAAGGTGAAGGTGACGGTGAATCAGACAGAACAGTCAGTGGCTGCATAAAGCAGGACAGCGTGAACACTGCACACAGGGATTTTGCGTAAGAAAGTAAACTGTTCACGAAAAATAATCTGAATGTGTCTCGATATCAGATCAAGGATAACCACCAGGTGATCTGCCACAACCATCGCTGCCAGGTAACGGGTAATACATTTGGACAGACCACATTTCTTGCAGGTTAGAATCACAATCGTCAGAAAGTTTACTGTGAGGAATGGAAAACAAGGAAACAAAAAATGAAATTGCAGATCTGTTACTGACAAAGTTAACAGTTTGAACGTGCATTCATTTTTTAAAAAAATATAATAGCCTACTGCTTATAGTGATACAATTAAATTACAGAAGGTTTTGGAAGAAAGCAGACCAGGTATAAACTGGGAGGGATTGAATCACAATAGCTTTAAGTAAGAAATCAATAAAATCAGGAATGGTGATTGGGCATAAAATTAGATTTTGGGTCTATGGGCTGATGGATCAAAGTGAGGCCAATGGGAGAACAAGGGTGATTCTTTGGGATCGACAAGAACGCTATAGCAATGGTGAAGACCAGATGAACCAAAAGCTTTCCACAGTCTAAGCTGTCAGTAGCATACCAGAACGTCAAGAGAGTCAGTGGAGAGAGGTGAGTATTTTAGCCACCACTAAGAAGAAAGTGCT